CCTTGTTTCTTTCACAAGGTTGATATCCAAGCCAGGTACAAATTGAGCATCGCCCATCACGAATTCCAGGAGTTCATCCAAGACGTCATCAGGGTCTGTCTTCTCACTTCGCCACTCACCTCCAAATCCCAAGATTGCGGGTCGTTTTGTACCTTGACAATAGTCCGCAGCGAAAGTCTCAGGTCGGTGCAGCCTGTTCTTCCAATAGATGAAGAAGTCCTCGCTCAGGTCAGCATCATTCCCTTTTGCTGGTTCGTTCATAAAGATGACTTTCCCAGCATAGCGATGACCGACGCCTCGAGCAATCATTTCCCTTGTCCTCGGAGGATCAGGGATGACGGCGTCTGATAGTCGTTCCAGGAATTGAATGCAGATTGGAGAGAGGTCCTGGGCCGCACAGTTGAACGCGTAGAAAGCGTCAGTCAGCTGTCGCTGCGATACTGTCATGGACATTTTATCCGCCTTCTGGACATGGCTTTTGGCGTTCGCTTTCAAGATGTTGATGCCCGAACGAGAAGCACGTTGAACTTCATGGCCAGGCGTCCCCGCCGGCGTCCTCCTCACACCTGTTCCTTGCAGCCTGTCCTCAGGTACCATGTCCATCGTGACTTCGATACCGAGATCGGATGCAATTTCCTCGATCCGAATGAGCTGAGCAGCTTTACACAGATCCGAGGCATTGTTGAGGAAGGTGCCGCATGTGATGCAGGACATCATGCCATGGGTGTAGGTATGTGTGCATGTCGGGCACTGATCTTCTGGCATCTGAACGCCCTCAACGACCATCCATCGAGTGTTGCCATAACCCTCAGTCTCGGGGTGGATCTTGCGCCAATCAAACCGAGGTCGGTTGTAGTTGGGCAGCATCTCTTTGGGCGACACTTGGTTCCTATAGGCGTTGAAATTGGGCCTGCGAACGACATACGTTACCTCGTATGTTTCTAAATCAGGATTTTGCTTTCCCGATACCATTTGGTCTTTCACGCCTGGGCGTTCGAACAGTTCACCGTACACGAATGGGGAAAAGGTATCCACCTTACCGCACCACCTCTCATAGTCACTAAGGACCTGGTAGGTGTACTTTTCCAGCGGGCTTTTCACCATTTCATCGTCATCGGCAACTGGTCCCCCAGTGCGTGCTGAATTGAAGGCTTTGGTTTCACCGGTGATGACGCCGCGATAGTGTGCGTACACATGGTTCGCGAAGGCGTAGCATCGGGATTCCATGTCATACACGTAAATCACGTTCCGGTTTGCCAGCCAATCAGGGCATAGGATTGTACCAGCAGTGGTCTCTATGAGCCGGTGCCCGTTCAACATCATCATTTGGAGATCCAAGGCAACGCAGATGGGGCGAGTCGCCGCCATCGCTGCATAATCGGTGCCTGAAATGGTCCACGGATCTTCCTTTGTCAAGAATGTGAATCTGGCTCCAGTACGATTGCCGCCTGGAATCAATCCCATGTTGATGATCTCAACCAGTGCTGCCCGGTGCGTGTAGTGATAGAGGATGGTGGGGGCCACCTCCTTCACCTTTCCCAGCGCACCCCGCGGAACCCGAGGGAATTTGCCGGCCTGGTATTCCACCGACGTATACTCCTCGTCGAGAGTGACAAAGCGTTCATGCTCGGGAAGTGCGTCTTGCACGTTGTTGCTTGACCATTCATTATGGTTCTGAATCGCTTTGATCCGGAGAGGTGTATATTGGTATTTTCCACCGACCAAAGTCCCCTTTGGCGCAATCCTCACCTCGAGCATGAATCTGCGATTGGATGTAATGACCGTCAGCAGGTCATCGTTGGTAAGGTTGACATCGTACTTCCGCTTGATAAACGAATACACCTTGCCAAAATCCATCCACAGCCCAGCGTCGAAGCTTGGAGGCTGCACCTTGTGCCAGGATTGTCTACTATGCTCCCAACGGAGCAAGCCCGAGACGCGTCGGGAAATCCAGACTTGTTTCGAGTTCAGATTCGCCAAATTGGCAGCACCGGGAACCGATCTTGACTGCAATGCCACAACTTCGTTTTCCCCAAGAGGCGACGAAACGGGAGGCACCGGTGGTGCTCTAGGCATGGCCTTGGCTTTGACAGCTGGTTTTGCTGTCGGAGTCGAATCCGAGGCCACAGCTCCCGCCGGGCGTTTTGGTACTTTGGGCTGAGCTTCCTCTGTTGGCTTCATCTCAACATCGGCCTCAGCTCCCGCCGGGCGTGCTTTTGTCTTCGGTGATGCCGGTTTTGTCTTCGACTTTGCAGTCTCGCTTGGCGCTTTTGGCGCCCCCGGCTCACCTGATGCCTTCGCCTTTGGGATCCTCGGTTGTGGTGCCTTGTTGGCCAGGTCGGGCTCGTTCCCCAGGGTTGTAACCTCACGGAACTTCCTGAGTGCCTCACCAGTGAGCTGAGGGATGTCTTCTTCTGCCATGTAGATGCGAATGACATCGCTTTCATCCTCCTTCTTTCTCAACTGGTAGGTTACTCCGGCGACCTGACATGAATCGGCATGCATAGATGTGAGAATCGGTTCCTTGAAAACAATCTCTTCATCTGAGTCATCATCTGGCTGATCTTTGTTTTCAAAGCCCTGTTTGATGGCGGAGTCAAGGTGATCTTTGAGAAGTTCATTGACATAGTTTTCATCCGCAATGGGTTCATTGGATACATGAAGCTCCTCTTCTTCCGTGATGGTAACAGGGTCCACCTCGGTGTCACCGTGCTTCGGCATATCAGCGGTGACAGACACGAACTCCATGCCCGGAGTGCTCACGGGAGCCTGGTTGTTTGCATCTCGACCTTCCGTCCCCGGAGGCGAATCAGCGCTGGGCGCAAAGGTGTCGTCAATCTCAATGACCTCCGGCACACTTGCATCCGGCATTGTCTGATCAGCCGTCGACGGTTCAGCCGGGACTTGCACATCCTGACCCTCGTCATAGACATCCGGACCAACGGTTCCCCGTGGCATATTGTAAAGTCGCTGATTGAATGGCAAGAGCTTGGCAGCTGCAATCTGCTCCTTAGTCGCATAGACGGGGTCCCCAAAATCATCCATGTGAGCGACCTCGGTAGTCTCAGAGACCGTCAGGAGCCAGCCATTCTTTTGGTCGATGGCAGTCTGCCTCTTCTGTCCCGGGATAATTTCATCGTGCTCGTCAAAGTCACCCAAGAAAAGGTATCCGGAGTCAATGCGCCGCTTCCAGATGTGCTCAAGCATATACTGGCGGTTGGTTTTCTCCCCACGAGGTTTCGCGGAGAGGTTCGCATCTTTGCGCAATACATCAACGCCAGCGAGCACCCAATAGTGGTAGGCAAACAAAGCAACGTTAGCGTAGAACTTCACGAACATCGCCCGGTTCTCCTCGGTGTTGTGGCAGTGGAAGTTGTCATACCTCTGACACGAGCGAACCAGGGTGGTGCCTGTCACATTCGTGACGCCAAGGCGAGTGAAGACATCCGCTGACTGGCACATTTGACGGGCGAATTCTTCCGGCAGTCCATAACTCTGCGAGTCGCAGTAGCAGATAACGATCAGGGCTGCCACATCTTTCCTCTGCCTCAAGTCCGCCAGACGCCTCATCTGCTGGGCGTGTTTTTGTGCCAGCTCTGCTTGCCATTCATAGGCTGCTCTCTGCTTGGCAGGATTCCGGTGGAGCACGTTGGTGTCCACCCAAGGGTTGCCCACAAATCCGTGGTTGCCGTAGACATCATTGCCGGCATATGATACCACGATGACCGCTGGGGCAACACCTCCCGGTGTGCGACGCCTTCCGTTGTCAAGACAAGCCTCTATTCCGTCAATGATCGCTTCCAGGCCACGGCCCCAATGCAGGCTGTATT